AAAAACCTGAAAAGTACCCTAAGCAAACAAAACCCTAAGTAGCCATGTGTTGTAAGTATTTGTAGACATTTTCATATTTCTTTTTCATTTTTTTTATTTCTTTGATAAAAGTTTGCAGGTCTGATTTCTACTTGAAATTTTTTCTTTTCCTTAAATGATTTATTATTTTAATAAGCAAAATAAATACTTGTTAGTACCATTAAAAATGAACATCTTCACCTTTCTCTGCTATAGAAAACTAAGCTCTAATTCACAAGGTGTTGCTCTGGAACATGGAGAAACAATACTATATTTTGTTCATCCTTTTTCTGTCATTTTCCATTTCTCATTACATGGTTTGTGTGTGTGTGTGTGTGTGTGTGTGTGTGTGAGAGAGAGAGAGAGAGAGAGAGAGAGAGAGAGAGAGAGAGAGAAAGAGGAACTCCATGAGACTATAATTGAGAGAAGGTGCAGCAAGAGAAGGCAGGGTAACCTACCTGCCAGGCTTCACAGGTAACTCTAACATGGCCACTACTCTCTAAGGCAGGTACTAGAGGACTGTGTCACTCTAACCAGCTTTGCAGTGACGAATGTTGGGTGCAATGGTTTCTCATGATTGTGGTTCAGTGCATTTTATCCTATTAGGCAAAATACTCAGAAAACTATAGCCTGAAGGTTCCTGGATGAGCATTGAATCAGATCTCAGTACAGTATACTCATTTTTCCCATAGGGATACAGTTGCCCCTCAATTTTGAGAGGACCCTTTCTATTACACTAGGCCAGTGATGGCAAATCTTTGAGAGGTTTCAGTTACAATAAACAGCTGGCTGGGGCACACATTTCATAGATTCACTACCAGTGGACTAGGCTGTAGTAGAGACATCACAACTTTTGCTTTCTTCATTTCTTTTCTTACAGAAGTATAAATTATCTCAACACATTTTTCTTCAATTAGAGTTTAGTAAAATCAGTTTTATTTGATAAAATTGAGCTAATACATGTAAAATATTTTACCTGGTGTATAGTAAATAAATAGTAACTGTTACTAATCAGTGTAACTGGTATTGAGTTCACCTTACCTTGTTACTTGTAATGGCAAAGGCATTCTTTTGGATTATGTTTATAGATGATCTGTGTCATCTTTACATCATGAGTTATTTTCAGTCTTCATTTACTATCATCTTCTTAATGTTGCTTTGAGCTAATTAGAATAATATCTATAGACTGCATGATTTTACAGCTATTTTTTGTCTTTGAAATTTTTATTCTTTTAAAATTTCATTTTCTTGGCCCCAAATTTTCCTCTTCCCCACAGTTCTGTTTTCTGTAACATGAATCTATTGGAAGAGATGATCTTAAAGTTTCTGCACAGCTCCAGAATGCATTTGATTTTATATCTAACTTGAGTAGAGGATGACATATGTGTCTCTTTTTGTCTAAACTGCTTTTCTTCATTTTTATCTACTGAAATTGTTTCTCATAGGGTGGAAAGTTATTTTGAAAGTAGTAACAGCATTTTAGAGTGGCAAGATGGCCATGGTACTGGAAGGTAAGGACTGAAAATCCAAGGATAAGATTAGAATGATGGTAAAGTCAGCAGTCAGCAATGCCACTGCAGATCAGAGAAACACACAATTGACAAATCAAAACTTGTGAAACATGCAAATGAGTATAGAATGATTCAAATGAACTAGTTAGTCATACAAGTAACAATAAGTGCCTTTGCTCTCTCTGGAGGGTGAGTTTTTGTCTTTTAACAGTGGCAAAATAGATTTGGAAAATGGTAGAGAAATTGACACAGCTGTAAGTGAGACAGGAACCATTGTGGTTCAGAAGAGGGATAGATCATTTGAGACTCCCCAGTCAGGGAAAATAATGAAAGAGACTGGCTTTGCTGTGGGTCTTGAGAGATGGACAGCATTCCAATAGATACGAGGAGGAAGAAAACATTTTTAGTGGGTGAAACATTAAGCAAAAGTACACAGATGGGAAATAATAGTGTGTGCTATGTGAATGGAGATTCAAATAGTTTAACTCAACAGTTCTTAGTGAGGTGCATAAAGGAAATTGAGGTAGGGCTTGTCAAGTGATCACTCGCTCCAGACTTGGCAAAAAAATAGGCAGCTGTGCTATTTCTCTTCAGCATGCAACTAGATGAGACTATTGATCCCTCTCAGTGATTTTACCTTTATATTTTCATGTGCTTTCTGATGTCATCAAAGAATTTCATCTTAGAGCTCTTTGGAAGCTGGAAACTGAATATCTCAAAGTATTCCTTCTCATTCTGTCTCACTCTCTCAAATACTTAAATGGAAGGAAGAATCATAGTTATCAAGAGGGCAGACAGCATACCTGTGATGCTAGGCTAACTGCATGTTTTTCCTGCTTGATGAGGAAAGGACTGCCTCATGCTATTGTACCTCATTACTTCCGTATCAGCAGCTTTCACCATCTTTTTAAGAGGTATTGCCAAGAAAGGAATAAAATCTGATGTTTTTCTCCACCAAACAGAATTTTGCTGACTTTCCAGAGGTTTTCTTTGAACTTGAACCTCTAATGTGAATTGACTGTAATTTCAAAGTCTCAGAGGACTCTGGCGTTCCATTATACAGACCACCTTAATCTTGCAAAGCATTCTTTCAAATTTTGCCTTGGGCCTATGTAGTTTTATGAGCCAAGGATTTAAGGACTTCTACCTCAGGAAACAAGTGTCAATCGATTATCAAAGATGAAATATATGTTTCTATGTCAGAGGCCAAAACAATTTTTTATTTCATTTATGCCAAACCTCTTGGAGATTAACTAATGAGCAGTTATAATTTTTTTCAGGAGGTAGCCATTTCTATTTCATAAAAAATAATGGAGATGTCATCCCTTGTAAATACTGCTTTTATATGTTGTTCAGGAAATTAGTTTCCAGGGTGCTTCTATACATGTTTTTGGAGAAGGAAGGCTACATCTTTAACAGAATCTTAGGCTAGTTTTTGGTTGCCCTCAAAGCTTCAAAACTTTTGAGTTAGCCAGTGTGGAGACAATGGGATGCTTGATGAATCTGAGCAAAGGAATGACAGGAAATTAGAAAGCTCATCTGAAGAAGATGGGAAGAAAAGCTTTGGCAGGAAGACGGGGTGATTTAGGGATTCGGGGTAGCTGCAGGGTTTGAGACATTCTAATAATCACAAAGTAATTTTCTAGATAGCGCTTCTCAAAGGTAGGAAACTTGTGTTACCTTTTTTGTTTATAGAGTCTGAGCACAGCACTTAGGCATTCCAAAAATGTTGAATTAAATTGAAGCCTGGTATCATCATGAAAGCTGCACTACAGTACTAGGAATAAATTCTCTTCTAGTTTACTTCTGTTTAACCCTACTTTCTTTAATCATTTGGTGAACAGTAGGGGTTTCAAAAATAATACTTTATTAAAAGTTCGTACAAACTTTGGAAACAGTTAAACTTTTGGTCTTGTAGAATTTGTTGTCTTTGTAAATTTTCTCCTGATACTTTTTTATTTACTAAAGGTATGCCTTCAGGCATAATTCTTTCCAATAAGAGGGAAGGAAAGTTGCAGGATGGTATAATCAGGTCATCAGCTAAGCAGAAAGCAACATTTCAGTAAACAACTAATCTTTATTTACTCATCACTAAAATGAGTGTCACAACTTTCAGGTCACTTTGGCTTAAGATATCTTTGGAATTTATAATGGGGTTTCTATCAATTTAATAACAAAACTCTGAAACCACTCTTCTGTATTATTTCATTATCAACTTTATGCATTTTTTTGGAGCAAAGTTTAGCCATACAGTTTCCCCTGGGATTAATAATTTAAAACTGTAAATTCATTATGATTGAAAGACCAAGATACTAGGTTTAGACTCTAGCTTATTGTAATACTTTACCGTTGCTCCCATTTTTTATTTTATTTTTTTGGTACCGGGAATTGAACTCATGACCTCAGGATTGCCAGGCAGGTGCTTCTGCCACTGAGCTATATCCCCGGCCCCTGTTGCTCCCACTGAATTCTTTCAAATAGAATAAAAATTACTGAGTTACTGTAAAACATTGGTATTATATAAAACATTTGCTCTAATAATACAGTAGCATTTTCTGTTTCTAGTAAACTTTCTGTTCCCAAGTCTGTAGAAATTACCAAATTATATTGGTCAAAGGTTCAGAAAACTCTTTTTCCTAAGTAGAAATGAGTCAGACGTATCTTCATGAAAGACAGTGATTTTGATTAACTATAAATATGGAAGGGTTACACTAATACTGTGATTTACTCAGAACTTTTGACGAAGGTTACTTCTGTGGTGACTATTCTTTAAAGTCTATTGATATTCACCACTTTGCTACACAGTTCTGAATAATTTTTATTAATTTGAATCGGGATAAAGATAGGAAGGGTAGATAAACTACACTTACATTAACATCTGAGAAATATTAATAAAATGAAAATAACTTGTATCATGGAGATAAATGCTTAACATTTTGGCATGTTTCTCTCCAGTATTTTATACATGCGTGTTTGTATATGCACAGAAGTGGACATCCATCTGCACTGCAAATGGGGATGAGAGAATTTTTTTATTTAGCGTAAAGTATACTTTTCCATGTCACTAGGTATTACTTCACATTATTCTAAGAGCAGGTTAGTAAGAAAAACACACCTGTTGGATATAAGATACTTTCAATTGTCTGTAATGACCCTTTCTTTCTGTTTTGTCTTTTGTTGTTATACCTACGGCATTGAACCCTGAAAATACTGCATGCACCCGTAGTTCCTTAGAGGCGCTTCTCAGACCAGACTGTGTAGACTGGAGCGTGCAGTCCCAGCGCTTCGCTCGGCTCCCTCCATTGCGCCGCGTCGTCCTCAGACCTCGGGCGCGCGCCGTGCGGCGGGACCCAGTTCCGTCTCGCGGGCGCCCCGGGTCCGCCGCTGGGGGGCAGCGCGGCGCGTGTCCTGCCGTTTCTAACCGGCGTCTCTGTCTTTCCTCCCTGGGGTCGCCGTGCCGTGCGGCCGAAGCCTGGGGAAGCCGTCGCCCCGCAGCGCCGCCATCCTGCGCCCGGCCGTCCCCGGG